GGTCTCATTATTACAATGGTGGTCAGAGGGTCTCATTATTACAATGGTGGTCAGGGGGTCTCATTATTACTATGGTGGTCAGGGGGTCTCATTATTACAATGGTGGTCAGGGGTCTCATTATTACAATGGTGGTCAGTGGGTCTCATTATTACTATGGTGGTCAGGGGGTCTCATTATTACTATGGTGGCCAGGGGGGTCTCATTATTACAATGGTGGTCAGGGGGTCTCATTATTACTATGGTGGTCAGGGGGTCTCATTATCACTATGGTGGTCAGAGGGTCTCATTATCACTATGGTGGTCAGAGGGTCTCATCATTTCTGTGGTGGTCAGAGGGTCTCATTATCACTATGGTGGTCAGAGGGTCTCATTATCACTATGGTGGTCAGAGGGTCTCATCATTTCTATGGTGGTCAGAGGGTCTCATTATTACTATGGTGGTCAGAGGATCTCATTATTACAATGGTGGTCAGAGGGTCCTATTATTACAATGGTGGTCAGGGGGTCTCATTATTATAATGGTGGTCAGGGGGTCTCATTATCAGTATGGTGGTCAGAGGGTCTCATTATTACAATGGTGGTCAGGGGGTCTCATTATTACAATGGTGGTCAGAGGGTCTCATTATTACAATGGTGGTCAGAGGGTCTCATTATTACTATGGTGGCCAGGGGGTCTCATTATTACTATGGTGGCCAGAGGGTCTCATTATTACAATGGTGGTCAGGGGGTCTCATTATTACAATGGTGGTCAGGGGGTCTCATTATTACTTTGGTGGTCAGGGGGTCTCATTATTACAATGGTGGTCAGGGGGTCTCATTATCACTATGGTGGTCAGGGGGTCTCATTATCACTATGGTGGTCAGGGGTCTCATTATCACTATGGTGGTCAGAGGGTCTCATCATTTCTATGGTGGTCAGAGGGTCTCATTATCACTATGGTGGTCAGAGGGTCTCATTATCACTATGGTGGTCAGAGGGTCTCTCATCATTTCTATGGTGGTCAGAGGGTCTCATTATTACTATGGTGGTCAGAGGGGGTCTCATTATTACAATGGTGGTCAGAGGGTCCTATTATTACAATGGTGGTCAGGGGGTCTCATTATTACAATGGTGGTCAGGGGGTCTCATTATCAGTATGGTGGTCAGAGGGTCTCATTATTACAATGGTGGTCAGGGGGTCTCATTATTACTATGGTGGCCAGGGGGTCTCATTATTACTATGGTGGTCAGGGGGTCTCATTATTACAATGGTGGTCAGGGGGTCTCATTATATTACAATGGTGGTCAGGGGGTCTCATTATTACAATGGTGGTCAGGGGGTCTCATTATTACTATGGTGGTCAGGGGTCTCATTATCACTATGGTGGTCAGAGGGTCTCATTATCACTATGGTGGTCAGGGGGTCTCATTATCACTATGGTGGTCAGAGGGTCTCATCATTTCTATGGTGGTCAGAGGGTCTCATCATTTCTATGGTGGTCAGAGGGTCTCATAATTTCTATGGTGGTCAGAGGGTCTCATCATTTCTATGGTGGTCAGAGGGTCTCATCATTTCTATGGTGGTCAGAGGGTCTCATTACCACTATGGTGGTCAGAGGGTCTCATCATTTCTATGGTGGTCAGAGGGTCTCATCATTTCTATGGTGGTCAGAGGGTCTCATCATTTCTATGGTGGTCAGAGGGTCTCATCATTTCTATGGTAGTCAGAGGGTCTCATCATTTCTATGGTGGTCAGAGGATTTCATCTTAGCATTTTTGGTATGGCAGCCAATGTTCCTCTCACAAACCGATTCGTTCCATCTTCTGGTTTTCCTCTTTGTTTTTGGCCAATGACTTGGAAAGGATTAAAGCCATTGAATTATCATGACATTCAGGCAGAGGTCAGCCCCGTAGTCCTCTCCCCAATGGGGAATGCTCAGAGATAATCTCCCATCTCAGCACCGTCCAGGTCCAAGGATTGAATGAATACAACAAACTACAAATCAGAATCTTTAATATTTACTTATTTACATCCATCATGAATGCTCCCCACGTTAATTGCTATCAGGAAGCGGCTGCTATGTACAGTGGGCCGGCGTCTTATATACAGATATATTGCTTTCTTGGCTATTCAGATCTAGAGAAGAGGAGAACAGAGATGACGAGATGGCCAAGCAGCATACAGAAAAAAGAGAGAAATAAAATACAGAAAAAGTCCAAGAAGATTAGAGGGTGACAGAGCCCCAGAACCCCCCTCCCCATCTCGTACAGGAAGAGTCCATCCAAGGGTAGTAAAACCTAGGGCAAATCCCCCCCCACATCTCATACAGGAAGAGTCCATCTGAGGAAACCAGAACCTCGGACAAATTCCCCCCACATCTCATACAGGAAGAGTCCATCAGAGAGTGCCAGAACTTCAAACAAATCCCCCCCCCCCCATCTCATACAGGAAGAGTCCATCCAAGGGTAGTAAAACCTAGGGCAAATCCCCCCACATCTCATACAGGAAGAGTCCATCTGAGGAAACCAGAACCTCGGACAAATTCCCCCCCCCCACATCTCATACAGGAAGAGTCCATCAGAGAGTGCCAGAACTTCAAACAAATCCCCCCCCCCATCTCATACAGGAAGAGTCCATCTGAGGAAACCAGAACCTCGGACAATACCCCCCCCCCCCCCCCCCACCCTCCTCCACATTTCATACAGGAAAAGTCCATCAGAGGAAACCAGAACATCAGAAAAACCCCCCCACCACCATCTCATACAGGAAGAGTCCATCAGAGAGTGCCAGAACTTCAAACAAATCCCCCCCCCCATCTCATACAGGAAGAGTCACTCTGAGGAAACCAGAATCTTGGATACCACCCCCCCCCGCCACATTTCATACAGGAAAAGTCCATCAGAGGAAACTAGAACCTCGGACAACACTCCCCTCCACATCTCATACAGGAAGAGTCCATCAGAGAGTGCCAGAACCTCAGACAAATCCCCCCCTCCACATCTCCTACAGGAAGAGTGCACCCAAGGGTAGTAAAACCTAGGGCAAATTCCCCCCCCCCCTCCACATCTCATACAGGAAGAGTCCATTTGAGGAAACCAGAACCTCGGACAACACCCCCCCCCTTCCCCCTCCACATCTCATACAGGAAGAGTCCATCCAAGGGTAGTAAAACCTAGAGCAAATCCCCCCCCCCCCCACATCTCATGCAGGAAGAGTCCATCTGAGGAAACCAGAATCTCGGACAAACACCCCCCCCCCCATACACACACACACACACATCTCGAACAGGAAAAAGTCCATCTGAGGGAACTAGAACTTCTGAAAGCACCCTCCTACATCTCATATAGGAAGAGTCCATCAGAGGGTGCCAGAACCTCAGACAACACTCCCCCTACATATTATATAGGGAACAGTCCATCAGAGGGTAGTAAGACCACAAATCACCCCACATCTCATACAGGAAGAGTCCATCTGAGGGAACCAGAGCTTTAGACAACCCACTTCCCCCCCACATCTCATACAGAAGAGTCCATCAGAGGGTAGCAGAGCCTCAGACAAAAACTCCCCCCCCCCCCCCCCCCCCCACATTCCATACAGGAAGAGTCCATCAGAGGGTGCCAGAACCTTGGACAACACCCCACACACACATATCTCATACAGGAAGAGTCAATCAGAGGGAACCAGAGCCTTAGACAACCCACCTCCCCCCACATATCATACAGGAAGAATCCATCAAAGGGTAGCAGAGCCTCAGACAACAACTCCCCCCCCCACATCACATACAGGAAGAGTCCATCAGAGGGTGCCAGAACCATGGAAAACACCCCACACACACATATCTCATACAGGAAGAGTCAATCAGAGGGAACCAGAGCCTTAGACAACCCACCTCCCCCATCTTGTACAGGAAGAATCCATCAGAGGGTGCCAGAACCTTGGACAACACCCCACACACACATATCTCATACAGGAAGAGTCAATCAGAGGGAACCAGAGCCTTAGACAACCCACCTCCCCCCACATATCATACAGGAAGAATCCATCAAAGGGTAGCAGAGCCTCAGACAACAACTCCCCCCCCACATCACATACAGGAAGAGTCCATCAGAGGGTGCCAGAACCATGGAAAACACCCCACACACACATATCTCATACAGGAAGAGTCAATCAGAGGGAACCAGAGCCTTAGACAACCCACCTCCCCCATCTTGTACAGGAAGAATCCATCAGAGGGTGCCAGAACCTTGGACAACACCCCACACACACATATCTCATACAGGAAGAGTCAATCAGAGGGAAAGCAGTCTCAGACAACAACCCTCCCCCCACATCTCATACAGGTAAAGTCCATCTGCGAGTGCCAGAGCCTTGACAAACTCAACCCCAACCCCCCCCAAGGTACCAGAGCCTCAGACAAATCTCCTCCCACATCTCACACAGGAAGAGGTCCAATTTCCACTGACAGGTCCATATTGGATTTGGCCATTTGTATTCTTACATCTAATCCAAACACGTTATTTTTATTTTCAGCTACACATATTGGAGAAGACCTTTATATGGGTTATCTATGGATGAAAACGAAGTGGAGATGCAGGTAGTCCCTCACAGACTCCAGAAAACACCCCCTTTATGTGGCAATCAAAGGCGACATGAGGCTGGCACCTCCCCGTAGAGTGACCACAACGCCATCTGGCCTATGGCTAAGTTGTATTGTGGAGCCACCATGGTCCCAACCCCCTGAAACCAATAGGAATTTGATCTTCAGCAGCAGTTTAAGGAGATTAAAAACAATTTCATAATTTACACTTGGGAAAACAGAAGCAGAAATTTTCTGAACACAAAATTCAGATAAAATAAAAGTCATGAAATTGTACAGCAGGAGCCCGAGGTCTTCTTCAGTTGTAACCTCAATGGCAGGGGAGATATTTCTTCACTAAATTAAAAAAAATGAAATCCTGGGAGCCCCATTATGGGTTCCCCATCTCCGCTCTCAGCCATCTGTAAGGAGTACATTCATTTACACGTTTTTCCAGCGGCCTCGGCGTTTACGAGGAGTCAAGTAAGAGAATCTCTTCCTCTTGTTGGGAGGAGGGGAGGTTGGAGGGCTCGGCTGTTCTTCTACAACATTTTGCTGCCCACTTTCCTCTTCCTGGCCATTGTGATTTTCCTCCAACTCATAATTCACAGAACAAGGTTCAGATTCTGGTTCTGTCTTTGTAGGATAATAAACGGGATCAATCAAGCCGGATGGAGCAGGTGAAGGAGGCTGAGGAGGTATAAGAGGTAAAATGGCTGCTAGGACATTGGTCAAACGGTCCATGCTCTGACGCAAAGTGTAGGTCAGATGTCGAATTGCCTCCGCCGTTTCCTGCTGGGCTCGTAGCATGGCTACTGTGGGGTCATAGTGCTGACTGACAGGCCCTGGAGAAAGCAGAGGAGAAGAGGACCCCGGAGGCATCGGCGGTGGAGAAGCCCCCTCAGATGGACCTGGTGAAGGGCTTAGCTGGGGTAACTGCACAATGTGAAGCTGAGGTGTTGGGGATGGAGACTGCTTAGGTTGGAGAAGAAGTGGAGGGTCCGGCGGACAGCAGGGGCCACTCAGAGAATTTTCTGCACTAGAAGAACCCGGACCTGATAGATGTAAGTCTGTGGGGGGAAAACAGAAGAATTGTCATCAGAATGTGGGGAGTGCAGAAGGCATTCACATTGCTACAAGTATGGAGGATAGCCTGTGTTACTGAGGGAATCTCCACCTCTGATCCAATAGGAAGACTGCAGAAGAATTCACTGATCACTTCACGTTAATAAAATTACTATTCCATCAGAGGGCAATTTTCTAAAACTGTCAAATGTTTAACCCCTTCGGCTCTGGTCCCTGTACAGCCTGATGAACCACAGCAATAATGGGCCAAATTATTTGGTGAGGAGTTTGTCGTACCTAACCCCTTCTTGCCGGCTGTATATATGTGACGGCACAGAGGTGGACCTAGCTCTGCACTGCCACATATATGCGCTTCTCTTTTGTGCACACTCAATCAGGTTCCTTCAACACTGTGACCTCACTGTCGCAGATCGGGTCACAGTAGGAGGGGTTCCCGATCATGTGATCACTGTGACGGCCAAAGTGATCACGATTGAGGAAACCCACACACTGCCCCACAAAAAGACGATGGTGCTATGTTAATACAATCTCCGTAAAGGGTCAGCAGAAAGGGTCTTAGATAATTATACAAATACATTGTTTATTGGGGACACACTAGGCGTTCCTTTAATAATGTTGTCCTCCAATATTGATACTTGATACTCAATGTTCTATAGTGATCAGAGAATTAGGTTTTTTATCCATATATCAATGTACTATGGTGGTCAGAGGGTTAGGATTACCTTCTATTTGGTGGGGGTCAGGGTTGTCCTCCATCTTGCAATGTACTATGGTGGTCAAAGAGTTGGGGTTGTCTTCTATATGATAAGGGTTAGGGTTGTTTTCCATCTATTGATGTACTATGGTGGTCAGAGGGTCAGGGTTGTTTTCTATAGGGTAAGAATTAGGACTGTCCTCCTTCTTTCGATGTACTGTGGTGGTCAGAGGGCTAGGGTTGTCCTCCATCTATTGATGTACTATGGTGGTCAGAGGGTTAGGTTTGCCTTCTATAGGGTAAGGGTTGTCCTCCATCTTTCAATGTACTAATGTGGTCAGAGGGTTAGAGTTGCCTTCTATAGAGTAAAAGTTACGGTTGCCTTCTATAGGGTATGGGTTAAGTTTGTCCTCCATGTATCAATGTACTATGGTGGTCAGAGAGTTAGAATTGTTTTCCATAGAGTAAGGGTTGGGTTTGTCCTCAATCTATTGATGTACTATGGTGGTCAGGGGGTTATGGTTGTCTCCTATAGGGTACAGGTTAAGTTTGTCCTCCATGTATCAATGTACTATGGTGGTCAGAGGGTTAGAATTGTTTTCCATAGAGTAATGGTTGGGTTTGTCCTCAATCTATTGATGTACTATGGTGGTCAGGGGGTTAGGGTTGTCTCCTATAGGGTAAGGGTTAGATTTGTTCTCCATGTATCAATGTACTATGGTGGTTAGAGGGTTAGAATTGTCTTCCATAGAGTAATGGTTGGGGTTGTCCTCCATGTATCAATGTACTATGTTGGTCAGAGTTGTCTTCTATAGGGTTAGGCTTATCCTCCATGTTTCAATGTACTATGGAGGTCAGAGGGTTAGGGTTGTCCTCAATCTATTGATGCACTATGGTGGTCAGAGAGTTAGGGTTGTCTTCTGTAGGGTTGGGGTTAGATTTGTCCTCCATGTTTCAATGTACTATGGTGGTCAGAGGATTAGGGTTGTCCTCAATCTATTGATGCATTATGGTGGTCAGAGAGTTAGGGTTGTCTTCTGTAGGGTTGGAGTTAGATTTGTCCTCCATGTTTCAATGTACTATGGTGGTCAGAGGGTTAGGGTTGTCCTCAATCTATTGATGCACTATGGTGGTCAGAGGGTTAGGGTTGTCTTCTATAGGGTTAGATTTGTCCTCCATGTATCAATGTATTATGGTGGTTAGAGGGTTAGAATTGTCTTCCATAGAGTAAGGGTTAGGGTTGTCCTCCCTATATCAATGTACTATGTTGGTCAGAGGGTTAGAATTGTCTTCCATAGAATAAGGGTTAGGGTTGTCCTTCCTATATCGATGTACTATGTTGGTCAGAGGGTTAGGGTTGTCTTCCATAGAGTAAGGGTTAGGGTTGTCCTCAATCTATTGATGCACTATGTTGGTCAGAGGGTTAGGGTTGTCTTCCATAGAGTAAGGGTTAGATTTGTCCTCCAGGTAACAATGTACTATGTTGGTCAGAGGGTTAGGGTTGTCTTCTATAGGGTAAGGGTTGGGGTTGTCCTCCATATATCGATGTGCAAAACATAAAACAACAGAGAGGGAGCAAAAGTCTAGTGCATTACCTATGACATTTTATTGTACAAAACAAGTGTAAAATATACTCACAAACACTGCGAGCTTAAAAGCATAAAAATGCATAAAGCCACGTAGAAGAATCCACTCTCCAACTTCACCTGGAGACGAGATGACAGAAAGCCGCTAGCGCGTTTCGGGGATCCAGTCCCCTTCCTCAGAGCTATGGCTATTGTTTTCAGCAATCCAACCTGCCTTACATAGCATATTGTGTAACCGTTTATCAGGGGCAGGAGTTGTGAAGGGAGTGTGGGGACTCTTAAAGGGAACACTACCCAGAAACTAGCTATCATTCTATGTTAAGGGCTTCAAGGAGATTGGTACCAGCACAAAACACAAATTGCAAAGATATGTAATATATTCTTGATACCTAGTATACCCGCACACATGGCAGCATGATGAATAGTAGACACTTCCATTGCATATAGAAGACACTTCCTGACACAATACTAATCCAAATATTGTTCATAATTCTGGCATTGTCACAAGGAAAACTACAAGCTATTTTTAAAATATCACACTCTCTCCAGGTGTTTGCTTAGAATCCCTCAAGTATCTGAGACACACCACCCGAACGGCGTTCTTCCGCACCTTGGAACGCACCTGCCGGGACTGGAGGTTAAGCAGCGGAAGTGCGTCGCTGGAACTTCATTCAATGCCATATTTACAGGGACATACTGATGGCTGAATGGCGCTACATCAACCCTCTGCGTGGATACTACTGCCTACTGGGCTAAGCATTGTAAAGGGGAACTTGGATGTTGCTACGCTGGTGCTATTAAAACTTGCTTGAGCCGTAAAGAGGTGTACATTGCCAAAAGAAGAAGAAAACACAATGTACACATCTTGCCTAAAATAAAACTAACAATGGGTAAAAAGAAAGAAAAGGGAGATTAGATGAAATTATATTTAAAAAAGGGAGGCGTTAATAATTAATAGATAAATTACACGAACTAATAAGATGATCAGGACATCGCATTGTCCACTGAAAGCTGGCCTGTCGAAGGTAAGTGATGCGAGCAATAACACCATTGCTGACGCCAATAACATTTGTATCAGCAATATATAGGGAATGTGATTGTGAAAAAAGGATACATTTGGATCTATTGTACTGCACTGAAACTGCTCAATCCCATGAATTACAGACAAGGCCTGAGGGATCTACCCCAAGCTGTACAGTAACAATGTATCACATACAGGAATATTAGTAAATAAAGCGTTGCACCCACAGGGATGATCCATGGTGGGCCTTTACCAGTGAATGAATAGAGTTTATTATGAGTAGATGGATAGAATAGAAATGGATTATAGGTGGTTGACACAATGATAACTGCTGAAATACCCATTGATGGTTTTTGCCTAAACATAGTTACATAGTTAATCTGACTGAAAAAAAGACAAAAGTCCATCCAGTTGAACCAAAAAAAAAAGTTATAATCCTGCACCCACAGTTGATCTAGAGGAAGCGAAAAACCCAGCAAAGCACGATCCAATCTGCTCCTGCAGGGGAAAAAATTCCTTCCTGATTCCTCGAGAGGCAATCGGATATTTCCTGGATGAAACATGATCAAGGGAAGGCACTCATAGGTGTCACCTACATTACTGCATGCATTTCTAGGTCTTCATTTTGCCCTCTAGGTGTCACAGAGCCTAGCTGATGAATCCAGAAAGCTTCCCGATTGCAGACCTTCTTGTGCTTCCTGCCTGTATCGGCATCACCAATGATCGCTTCTATTCCAAAGACCGTCAAACTATCCGTACTCTTCTCATGGAATTCTGCAAAGTGACGGGACACTGAATATTTGTCAAACCCCTTGAGAATATTCCTGTTATGTTCCCCAAACCTGATTCTCAAGGTACAGGAGGTGCAGCCCACTTAGAGGCCACAAGGACAAGTGAGACCATATACAACATATATTGCACACCACAGTTAAAATGTCAAGGGAAATGCACTAGGAGTTTGCACCGTCTCTGTTGTTTATGTTTTGCACAGTGCTGGATTTCCCCCGGTCTGAGGAGGGCTGTTTCGACATTTCCCTTTCCATACCCTGGTTGTTTTAAGACTGGCCATCTTGGTTTATGTGATGGGTGCCTCTGTTCACGTCTGAGCTCTGGAGTGTCAAGTTTGTTTGTTCTATGCATCTGGCTCCATCTATCGATGTATTATGGTGGTCAGAGAGTTGGGGTTGTCTTTTATAGGGTAAGGGTTGTCCTCCATCTATCGATGTTCTATGGTGGTCAGAGGGTTAGGATTGCCTTCTATACGGTAAGGGTAGTGCTCCATCTATTGATGTACTATGGTGGTCAGAGAGTTGGGGTTGTCTTTTTATAGGGTAAGGGTTGTCCTCCATCTATCGATGTTCTATGGTGGTCAGAGGGTTAGGGTTGTCTTCTATATGGTAAGGGTTGTCCATCATCTATCGATGTATTATGGCGGTCAGAGGGTTGGGGTTGTCTTCTATAGGGTAAGGGTTGTCCTCCATCTATCGATGTATTATGGCGGTCAGAGGGTTGGGGTTGTCTTCTATAGGGAAAGGGTTGTCCTCCATCTATCGATGTACTATGGTGGTCAGAGGGTTAGAATTGCCTTCTCTACGGTAAGGGTAGTCCTCCATCTATCGATGTACTATGGTGGTCAGAGGGTAAGGGTTGTCCTCCATCTATCGATGTACTATGGTGGTCAGA